GCACCTTAGAGTGGAGACCTCATTTTTCATGTATGGTTGGAGTGTGAGGCCAGAAATGGTAACAAAAATGACTGTTAAGTTATTAGCCTGTGTGATAACACAAGTAATGGTAATATCTGCAGTTACTTAGAAAGAAATAACAAGAAAATAAGTGTTTTTCTTAACAATGTTAAAATGGAATTGATGACTAACTTGTCATCAGGTTGCTGAAGGCTGGAGGCACAAGTTGAGATTTTGGGGAACTAGTCTCTAGATTGTAGATCATCCCTCTAGCTGATCTACTTTGATCGAGTTCTAAAGGTAACTGGGGCTCCTTATGGCAATTCTCTTTAGGACTATGTTGACAGGATGTTTAACAAAGGCCTCTTCTATTGCTCTCCTTTGAGAAGGGGGCAACAATCTGCACAGTCAATGTTATAAACTTTATGAATGAGCTTCTGTAGTGATTCTTTTCTTACTGGAGTTAACATCAAAGGAATGTGGTGGTGGAGACTCTGACATACAAAGTAGTAGAGAGGAAGGAAAGGTATATTGCCATCAAAATGATTTAGAACATAGATTTGAAACTGTTAGCCAGAAATATTGAAATGCATTGAGTCAAAGACTTGGTGCTTTATTGTTCATCCAGACAAAAAGCAGTATCAGAAAATAATTCATGCAGAAGGATGGAAAATGCTATCTAAAGAAACAGATTTAGTTCAGAATTTGATAGTTCTAGACTATGTGCAAATTTTCTCATAACCAAGTGTCTTTTCCCCCTAATGACTTAATTGCTTTATTAACAGCGGTTTGTTGGATGAAGGCAAAGATGCCTTCTGGCCAAGTGATTGAGTGCCACTGGCAGACTTGCAGATCATCCCTTGTGATGGCAGCACTTTTCAAATGGATCCCCTTGTGTATGAGCTGGATCAGTTTCCTTCTCCAGTGTAGACTACATAAGAACTTTGAAAGCAACAGCCAGATATTACTGTTCCTTAGAGTAGTTTGAAGGGTGTACACCTTCTGAAAAGCGTTTGAAGAGATTCCTTCAAAGGCCAGTTGGTGGGGAGTGTTAATACTTGCAAAAGTAAGGAACTCTAGCTAAAGCTAAGCTTAGTGCTAGTGACATGTGTGTATTGGTCACTTTTCTCCCCCTTTTCTGCAGCATTTCTTCAGTACTCAGCCTAAAGCACCATGTGTGGTGGTCTGAGCTACGGTAGCCAATTTTGCAGTTGAGACTATACATGTGCACTGTTGGTTACCAGAACAGAACTGATGAGGAGCAACTGGCTCAGCCACTGTAGTGCAGCTCCTTGTTATCGTTCATGTGTGTATCCTAGAGGAATTCTCCTCTTTCCCACTCTCTCCCATGGCATCCTTATTACAGATTTTTTACAGATTATAGCTCGCACGACTGGAGCGCTGCCATGGAAGGCTATGTGCTCTTTAGGAAGGACAGGCTGGGAAGGCGAGGTGGTGGAGTTGCTCTTTATGTGAGAGAGCAACTGGAATGCATGGAGCTCAACCTGGGAGTCGAGGATGAGCGAGTTGAGAGCTTGTGGGTAAGGATTAGAGGGCAGGCTAATGTGGGAGACACTGTGGTGGGTGTCTGCTACCGGCCACCTGACCAGGACGAGGAGGTTGATGAGGCCTTCTATAGGCAGCTGGATGTTGCCTCACGGTCACAGGCCCTGGTTCTCATGGGGGACTTCAACTACCCCGACATCAACTGGGAGGACAACACAGCCAGGCATAAGCAGTCCTGGAGGTTCCTGCAGAGCGTCGACGATAACTTTTTGACGCAGGTTGTGGAGGAGCCGACGAGGAGAGGTGGGCTACTGGACCTCGTGCTATCAAATAGGGAGGGCCTAGTAGGAGATGTGAAGGTGGGGGGTAGCCTCGGCTGCAGTGACCATGAGTTGGTGGAGTTCAGGATTCAACGAGGAGGAGGCAGGGCTGTAAGTAGCCTTGCAACCATGGACTTCAGGAGGGCCAACTTTAGCCTCTTCAGAGACCTCCTCGGTAGAATCCCATGGGCTAGTGCTCTAGAAGGAAGGGGGGCCCAAGAGAGCTGGTTAGTTTTCAAGCGGCACTTCCTCCACGTCCAGCAACAGTGCATCCCTGTGTGTAGGAAGGCAGGCAGAGGGGGCAGGCGACCTGCGGGGATGAGCCGGGAGCTTGTGGCAATGCTCAAGCAGAAGGCAGCGGTATACAGAATGTGGAAAAAAGGACAGGCCCCCTGGGAGAAATACAGGAACGTAGTCAGGGAGTGCAGAGATGCGACAAGGAAAGCTAAGGCACGGCTGGAAGGCAAGCTGGCAAGGGACGTTAAAAATAACAAAAAAAAATTCTTCAAATACATTAACAGCAAAAGGAAGATCAGGGAGAACGTGGGTCCGCTGGAGGACGGGATGGGCACCTTGGTTACAAATAACACAGAAAAAGCAGAGTTGCTCAATGCCTTCTTTGCTTCGGTGTTTACCAAGGGCAGCCCTTTAGAGCCCCAGGCCCTAGAGGCAAGAGAAGAAGCGGGTGGAGAGGAAGACTTGCCCTGGGTAGAGGAAGATTGGGTCAGAGAGCACCTAAGGAACCTCGATACCCACAAATCCATGGGCCCTGATGGGATGCACCCCAGAGTGCTGCGGGAGCTGGCAGATGCCATAGCTAAGCCGCTCTCCATCATCTTTGAAAGATCCTGGAGAACGGGGGAGGTGCCGGAAGACTGGAAGAAGGCCAATGTCACGCCAGTCTTCAAAAAAGGCAAGAAGGAGGACCCAGGCAACTACAGGCCAGTCAGCCTCACCTCCGTCCCCGGAAAAGTGATGGAACGGCTCATACTGGCCGTTGTCTCCAGGCACATGGAGGACAAGAAGGTGCTCAAGAGTAGTCAGCATGGATTCACCAAGGGGAAATCTTGCCTGACTAACCTGATAGCCTTCTATGATGAAATGACCGGCTGGATAGACGAGGGGAGAGCGGTGGATGTCGTCTATCTCGACTTCACCAAGGCTTTTGACACCGTCCCTCACAACATCCTCCTGGGCAAGCTCCGGAAGTGTGGGATAGATGAGTGCACAGTGAGATGGATTAGGAACTGGCTGGATGGCAGGGCCCAGAGAGTGGTGATCAGCGGTGCAGAGTCTAGTTGGAGGCCTGTGGCTAGTGGGGTCCCCCAGGGGTCAGTCCTTGGTCCAGTCCTGTTCAATTTATTCATCAATGACCTGGATGAAGGCACAGAGTGCTCCCTCAGCAAGTTTGCTGATGATACCAAACGGGGAGGAGTAGCTGATACCCCAGAGGGCTGCACTGCCATCCAGAGGGAGAGGGACCTGGACAGACTGGACAACTGGGCGGTGAAAAACCTCATGCAATTCAACAAGGCCAAGTGCAAGGTCCTGCACCTGGGGAGGAATAACCCCAGACACCAGTACAGGCTGGGGACCGACCTTCTGGAGAGCAGCTCTGCGGAGAAAGACCTGGGTGTCATGGTGGATGATAAGTTGACCATGAGGCAGCAGTGTGCCCTCGTGGCCAAGAAGGCCAATGGGATCCTGGGCTGCATTAAGAAGAGCATCTCTAGCAGGTCGAGGGAGGTGATCCTGCCCCTCTACTCAGCCCTGGTGAGGCCGCATCTGGAGTATTGTGTCCAGTTCTGGGCTCCACAGTACAAGAGGGATGTGGAGCTGCTGGAGAGAGTCCAGCGCAGGGCTACCAGGATGATCAGGGGCCTGGAACATCTGCCCTATGAGGAGAGGCTGAGGGAGCTGGGCCTGTTCAGCCTGGAGAAGAGAAGGCTGAGAGGGGATCTAATCAGTGTATATAAATACCTCAAGGGAGGGAGTGCAGAGGACGGTCATGGTCTCTTTTCAGTGGTGGCCACTGATAGGACTAGAGGAAATGGCCGGAAACTGAAACATCAAAAATTCCATAGGAACTTAAGGAAAAATTTCTTAACAGTGAGGGTGACAGAGCACTGGAACAGGCTGCCCAGAGAGGTTGTGGAGTCTCCTTCTCTGGAGATCTTCAAAACCCGCTTGGATGCAGTCCTGCGCCACGTGCTTTAGGTGTCCCTGCGTTTGCAGGGGGGTTGGACTAGATGATCTCTAGAGGTCCCTTCCAACCCTAAGCATTCTATGATTCTATGATTCTATGATTCTATGATTTACAGGTTTGCTACCTGATGTCATGTATCTTGTTTTACTTGGAGCTGATTAGGTCCTGAGAAGCAACTGATTAGTCTCTGGTGAGCACAACTGCTGAAGTCCTGTTTTCTCTGATAAATGTTTTGTAAATGAACATTTAATGCAGCAAAAGACTTGAGAAATTGTGAGAAATTGATTTCCTTTGGTAACTAAGATCACTTCTTAGACTGTGTGTAAGGGAAAGGCCTGGCTGATTTTGTACAGTGCTTAGCATGAAAGCCCTGAATTTGATTTGGAATGCTGGCACACAAGGGTTAAATAAGTAATATGATGCAAGAAGTTCAGGTTTCTCAAAAAAAAAAAAAAAATCTAATTTGTACTGAAACAGGAGACTTAGGTTATGTGTGTGTTTGACATGGGTTTTTTTGTTGTTCATTTGTTTTTCCTCTCTGTTTTCAAAGGGAATTTGCTGCTTTCACAAAAAGGCATATTCATGGACATAGTGATCTTAAAAGGGGTATCTTAAATCAGGTATCAATTTATTGTATTAGCCTGTGTTCATCTCCAATGGGGTCTATGCAAACTCTACTAATAACAGTGAAAGTAAAATACCAATTCCAGTTTGGTTGCACCTTCTTAGAAATTAATGTGATGTACAAGTAAATATAAAGAAACTTCACTAAGTGTGGCTTTAGTATCAGTTGTTTATACTACATCAGGTTTAGGATCGGAGTAACAAAACAAATTGAAATTGATGTCATCTTCAGTAATAGAAATTATTTTTTTAATAGATATGGCTTTTAAATTCTGACACGTTCCTGGTGGAGTCTTTAGGAGGCTCGTCCTCCTGCTATGTTTTTGCACCGTTTGGAGATACTTTGAAGCCTGATTCTGGACCAGTGGGGGCCTGGAATGCAGTCAAGGTTCTTTACCAGCCATGCATTAAAAGCAGGAATAAGGAGTGAGTATTGCCTTTTGTGATCTCGGGTTCTGAACCTTGAGTCTTTCTGCCATACAGGTCAAAAGTATTTCTTTCCTTGGGGCAGTCCATTAACCTTAGAAGTGTATTTTTCAAAATCAGATACTCTTTGCTTGCTTAAAAAAAAAATCACCAGAGAATCTGGTGATTACAATTTTGCACAGTAATATTAACACTTTCACCCAGATTTTATGTTATTCTGACATGCACATAATTTAGATGATAGGAAATGTCTCCATGCATATAGCAAAATCATATGCTCCCTTTTTCATTCATTCTTTTTCCTCCTACATATTAACTGGCTGTACACTTCTCAAGCTTGGTCCTTTTTCCAGCTGTGTTGATAGAAGCTGGAAGGATCATGGTGCAGCATCTCCATGAGCCTGGACCTTAGATGTACTGAACACTGCATTTAACACTGTCACTGTTAAAGGATGTTTCATGTAGCCTGGCAGAGTTTGAATAATGCCATAGCAGTAATGCAAGACCTCAGGAGGATTGTCTTAGATGGGATGCAGAGGGAAGTTCATTGAATTATCAAAGTAGCCTCTGTGTACTTGTAACTTGGTTTCAGCCCAATGGTTGCATTACTTCAAAAACAATTGAGGCCCTGAGGAAAGGAGAAAGAAGGGGCAAGGAAGGTATTTGAGTTCAATATCAAGACTTTCTTGTGCGTCTGTCCCATTCCACTCAAACCCACCCTCATAAAGGGTATTTGATTTCTGCAGGCTTTGAACCCTACCTTATGGCAGGATGAAAAGAGGGAAGGGGAAGAAACTGTCTAACAAATTTAAGCTTTTAACTGCCAAAGAGCAAAGATGTGAGAATATTGATTCGCCAGTGTTTGTAGGTGACAAAATTGGATTTCTGGCATAACTTATTGCTCTTTGCAGTGAGAGAAGAAAGAATTAGTTTTGTGTAGGTCAAACTTAAATAGTGGTTTGGATTTGTTACTTTTTCTTTGAGGTCTTTGAAACTATGACAGTTCTAAACTGGTACATGAATATTAAAAATTTGGAGGCCATTCCCTATAGCTTCAGTACCAATACACATTATGCCAGAGAACTCGCAGCACAAGAATGTTGCCTCATTCAAACGTGTATATGCATTTAAATATTTTAATAGGAAAAATGTGTACCTCAGAATGTGATTCATAGTATTTGTCCTGAATATTGCTTAGCTTATTTGGGCTGCTTCCTCAGTGGAGTGTGTGTTTTGAAGGAGGCAAGGGGACAGATCTAGTACTGAGTAGTTGACTCTCTAACACTCAGAGAATTTGAAGCTCTAAAATGTAAAGAGCAGATCACCCTATCATACAAAGTACTATTGTTATTCATGTAAGAGGAAATAAATATCTTTTTTAAAGTCATAGCTTAAAAACTTGGCCTTAGAGAAGCTCTGTAATTTAAATGAAAATATTTTATTTTAAAAGGTAAGTTTGGAACACTAACACTTAAACTGTGTATTCTTAGAATTGAATTTTCTCAGATATTACAAGAAAAAGTACCAGCTCTCAAAATGAAAGGTATTTGATTTTAGGCTAGGATTTTGCCTAGCCACTTGGAGAAGCCATTTTTGCTCTCCTTAACTTTCCTTTCTAGTTTAAACTTCACGTGGGCTAAAGCCCATTGCTAACCCCATCCCTGCATGCTTGCTCAGTTTCACTGTGTTCTTAAGTCTCCTCTCCCTGCTTCCACCTCTTGTACACTGGCTTTTTATGCTAGGGTGAGGAACTTCATTTTCCTCCACATAGGAGGCCAATCTCTTTTTTTGATTTCCTGCTTGTTGGGATGGACCATTCTTGAGTTTGGCGGATATCAACAAGCTCTTGGATCCATCTCCTTTCCAGGACAGTCTGTCATGGGATTCTGCTAAATGGATTCCCAAGCAGGCTGAAGTCTGCTCTCCTGAAGGCCTGGATTCTGCTTTTTGCCTTGCTCTATCCTCACAGGATTCCAAACTACACCACTTAGAGATGATCTGTCGATGGCTTCCACTTTTCTTTCAGAAAGGCTCTCTTTCCACCTGCACATTTACTGTGCAAACAAGAGATCTTCCTGTCAAGTAACACATGCTGCTGGGAGTAATAATTTTAAATGTTGCTGAAGTCAGAATGTTATAAAAATGCATGAAGAAAATAGTTGCATACAACCACAACTTGACCTTAGAAAGTGATTTGTGAAGGTACATGAGAAGTATAGTAGTGTGCTGGGTAAAGCATTGTCAAAAAGTCATTGATAACTCTTCTTGTCTCTTTTCGATCTTTTCTGGACTCTTGCTAAATGGCTTACAGCTTTTGCAGAAGCCTTCTCCTATTTAAGAATTTGTTGCTTGCTTGAGAGTTGAAAGGTGACTTCAAAAAAGTGTTCTTGTGTTTTTATTACTTTGAGAGACAGAATAAGGTAGAAAATTGAGTTTGTGGCTGAAATCTGAAATTTGTGATTTCAATGCCTCTGTTGCGCTCTTATGATTGCACAAGAGTCTGTATATACTGAGCTGCTTATGAAGCTGTGTTCCTGATGGATTCCAGGATGTTGTTGTTTTTGTCCCAGTAATGGCTTTCATTCAGTATGTGGCTGTCAAGTAAGTCATCTTTCATAAAAGCTTTGAATTATATCCTAATTCAGCCTGGAATTTGTTCAGTGACACAGTGTTTCATTGATTCTTTTATGTTTAAAATAGTGCTCTTTCCCAGTGCTTCAGTAACTCTCGTCTGCAGAAAGTATGTGGGAGCAGGTAGCTAAGAGCTGCCTGGATGAGGAGTGACCACAATTTTAGTCTTCTGTGGTCTAAGATGATTTCATACTATAAACATACTGTGTTACCTCTGTGATGATTAAGTGGATGGATATGATTGTAAAAGAAGTGTGAAGGATTTTTCTTATTTCAGATTACCTTTTTCTGCTCCCTTTTTGCATTGTGTGCTTGGGTGAGGGCAGGAGAGAACTGCTGCCGTAGGGGAAGTGAATTGCCTTAAAAGAGCTTACTGAACAGCTGAGCAATGCTTGTTGAGAGAAGCACTCTACAGTCAGTCAGGGTTGCAGGGCAGACTTGGGATGGGAGAGTTTTTTTTTTTTTTTTTTTTTTTTTAAAGACCTTTCCGAATTTAAGATGCACCTTCTGGAATGCTTGGAACTTTGCTTGAACTTTGGAGGAAGAGATGAAAACTCTGTGGAGAATGATCATTTTTAGTTTGAGATTTGGTCTTCAGGATATACTGGAGTCATCCTTCCCCATCACCTTCCCCTGATCATGAGAAAGGTTGGCCCCAGTATATTCTGAAGAACTCCTTTCAGGAGAGGTGTTCAAAGGAAATCTGCCACATCCAGCATCCTTTCATGGTAATTAAAGATTGTCATTATTGTTCCTCAGCACAGGTATTATACATCTCTAACTCCTCAGGGTTATCATATTTTAATATTTCTAAATATAAGTAGTGTTAGAAGCACTAACTGAGGGAGAGAGGAATGTTGGAATAAAGCCTGTGTTCACCAAAAGCGTGATTATCTTGGGTTATTGCTCAAAGAAGGATAACCATATTCTAATTCATGTTGGACTGATTATTTAAGTGGATGTTTTTGCTCAAGTGAAGTCTGCCTTGAAAATTAACAAATTGAAGTCAGAGGAGGGAGGACTCTGGCTGCTTTGGTAAAAATGGATCCCCAATCCTGACTGTACTTAACCAACTCTCACCTAGTCTGCCTTTCTTGTTGTATGGAATGGGAAATGCGTATGTCACTTACACTGCCTTATTATTGTACTGTTCATTAGAAGTATGAAATGCTACATACCTAATAAATGGTCATGTGAAAAAAAGCAACTGACTGTTAATGATATTACTGAGTTACTACTTATGTGCTAATCCTGTTAGAAAAATAGGAAGTCTTGAGCATGTTTATCATGTTTAATATGCTTTTGAAGCAGGGTTTGTGATTCTGTAATAAGGCGGAATAAAAATAATTCAGGCTTGTATGTTTTCATTGTAATTTGTTATTTATCTGCAAAATGCATCCCAGGTAAACGCAATTTTACTACTACTCATGGCCCTCTAGGTAATATTGCAGTAGCTGCTCTGGGAGTATCAGAGCTTGCAAGAGAAATTGGATGTGAAAAACTTGTGGATTAAAAGCACCATTATCTGAAATCAATTCATAGTCTGAAACAGCTGCCTTCTCACATAGTTAATTTCATTGTCAAAAGATCATTAAAAGAAAAGAAACACCAAACTAGGCCAGACGATGGTTCCATGTAGCCCAATCTGTTGATTCCAACATGAGGAAGAGATGTTCGGGAAGCACGTGAGCCTCACCACTGACAGCTTCTGTAGTGGTTGCACTGAGGATGTTGGAGGGTACGACTTGTTCTGCTGCTTTTAGTATCTCCTAGCGTGTCTGACCATCTGCTTGAATAACCTCTCTTTGTCCTTCCTGGTACTGCCTGCCTCCACAGACTCCTTTGACAGCAAGTTCCAGAAGTTTACTGTTGCTGTAAAGAACTATTTAAAACTGTTCTCCTGCTTGTTCCAGTGAGTTTTCTGTAAAAGCAATATTAGGGGTTTTGGTGAGAAACAATTTGGCATTCACACAGGCAACATGGACATGGGGATCCTAAACTTTAGGCTGATGCTATAGCATGCGCTACTCTGCTCTTGCTGATTAGATGTGGAAGTTAAATTTACTGGCCAGTTTCCTGGAGGAACATACAGGCAGTGTCACATACAGGCAAGACCTACTGTAAGGTCTGTATATATCTCTATTACATTCATATTGCTTTTCTTATAGCGCTGCTTTTCAGAGAGCCAGATAGCCTAAATGTGATGATGATGATCCATAGGAGATAACTTTATGATTGTAAGCCAAACTATAGTAGCTTTTCACCTAAGTACCTAGTTTGTTTCTTACAGAAATATAAAGACTCTTCAAGTTCACTTGGAAACTGTAAATACTCAACTCCTATAATGCCTTTCAAATGACAGGATTCAT